ATACAATACTCGTTTTTAAAAGTATCGATACAGTGCCGTCACCAGTGGCACCTAAGCAGTCATTCATCTAAAGTGCAGAATAGAGGACAATGCACTTTCAGAACACTGTGTGATTGAATAATTCTGTGCTCTTTTCAGTTTCAGACTTTTTTCTGTAACAGGTGCAGCCGCTGAGAATTATTTTTGTTTCTTAACTGGTTTGGCTAGTGTCATTGTTATGTGTGCAAAGCATAAACAAGGAAGGAACACTTAATTTGAGTTTTCTAAGTTTTTTATCAAGCTTGCTTAATATTGTGCACAGCATACAACCTTTATTGTGTTTATTTATTGTATTTTATTTATTAATGAAAATATTTCTGTAGACTTTTGGAGTCTTTGTTTTTATCCTTGTGGTATCGAAAATGGTATCGAGTATCGAATATTTTCCTTAGTATCGGTATCGAGTTGAAAAGTTTAGTATCGTGACAACCCTACCATACAGAGGATATTTTTGTTTATTCTTACAATTTCAAAAAAAAAATATATCATGTATTATTAGATGTATAGTAATATTTTGAGATATAGTATGCATCTATTCTAAGACATTAGCGTTCTGAGTTAATGTATTCATATTAGGACTTATCTAGGTATATTTAGATTGAAAAAGACCGGGATAGGATTTAAAATCTTTTCACTTCTTTGTATTGTGTTTTAGACATAACTGGGAGCTGTGTGAGGTTATCCTGTCTGTTTAGTATTTTTATGTATTATTCCATAACTCTTTCAAAATGAAAATATATTTTTAATTAAAATTCTAAAACAACAAAAATTAAAAAATTTAAACAAACGAGGCTTTGGTTATTTTTTTCCGATTCACTCATTGCTGGCCTTTAGCTATTAGACATTAAAACCATTTTTAGGATGAAAATCGACCATAACACGCTGGGTTAAAGTCATTACTGTAATGAAAGCCACTGCCTCCGGCAGGTGCTTACACAGCGGAGTTTTCATTCCCAGTTCTTTGCCTGAAGGCAACCAATAGTTTTAACTTCCCCTTAAATAACTTCTCAATATAATAATGACTATAAAACAGGACTTAAGGTTTAACATCAATTTAATCTAAACCAGTAAGAATAAGGTTTCTCATGTCATCTATAGGTTTACCCACATGTACTGTACACACTGTACCAAGATATCTGACAAATGTTCTGTGTCACATCTGTGAATTTCCTCTTAAGGTCCAAAATATTTTTTTTCAATAGCTGAGCAACCTGCAAATTTAAATTAGGGCTGAAACAATTAATCGGATTAATCGTGATTAATAGAATATTGAAATAATCATAGATTGAGTAATCGATTAAACATAACAGGAGTACAGAAACTCTAAAACATGCCTTTAGCTGAGACTGACCCCCATATAAACATTTTGCATTTAAGATAAAAAAAACTGGTTTTGTCCATCCATATGCTCTACCAATATTCCTCAAGTGGAACAGTTTTAGTCATATCTGGTTTAAACTCTGTAAAGAATCTTCTATAAGGAAAACTTTTCTGTCCGATTATTATTCGATTAATGTAAAGAAATAATCGACAGATTAATGTAATTAGTTGAAGCACCAATTTATTAATGTCTAGCCTTGCTTGTTGAGGAATATTAAGCCAGTTTTATATCAATTCCTTATTTCATCCAGGATTGGGTTTGCAAAGTCAGCTGATCTGATATATTTTTTTTTTTTTTCAGAGTGTGCATTGACTCTGATTGTCAGCCTCAATTTTTGAGCCTGACAATTTACTGTTAACAGAAGTTTGAAAAAAAAAAAAAAAAAAAATGCACACAAGAGAAGAGTGAAAGTTTATAAACCAAATGTTTGCATACAGAAATATCCACAAGCCTTGATTTAATTTACACTGGCAGGAACCAGGTTTGTCACTACAACAGCTGGTTAGAATAACAATAACAAACAACATATTTAACTTACTGACAGCTACAAACTAATTTGCAGAACATTGCTTTAAAAAATCCAATAACTAAGATTTACATCAGTAAATTCAAGGTGCTGTAACTTTAAAACAAATCATCATTATATCCAATATTTTTTTTCCATGTAAATTAAAACAAAATACCATAAATAGCTCACAGTAGATAGCTGAATGATGAGTGCCACAGTAATAAAGGGGAGAAAGATTCATTTGATTTACTTGAGAATGATTTGCAAAATAACTTAAGTTTATAAATTAGTCATAGTCCTGGATTGGGGAAAAAGTTACCAGTTCTTAATCAATCATACTCAAGTATTCAAAGCACAAAAATATAACAAATTATACAAATGTGAAGAAGACCATCTTATCTTGTTTAACTGTTAAATTAAATTTAAAGATACACAATTATGACTGTTTTTAGCCATTAGAACCAATCTTCACCTTAACAGCACCTTTAACATACAGAAATACACTGCACCACTAATAAACAGTTGCTTAAAATCTTCTATTGATGGTGCTGTGGTCATGTGGAGCACAAATCGATAAAAAAATGACCTTTCTCTATTATTCATAACCTGACTGATCTCAGCTATAACCTAAGGAGGTCAGCAGATAACCAGCACAGCTCAGAGATTACTTCCTCCATGCAAGATATGGCAGTATTCTTCAGTTCCTGTGTTTTATTGTTCCGAATAAAATAAAGGCACAATATGAGGTTGATCTAAAGGGTGAAGACACATTTACATAAACACCCACACACTATGGTAAAAAAACAAACTCAGCTTTACTTTAATCAGTCACTACACGTAAACATATCTTGTCTTCACTAAGGTGTTGCCAAACCTTTATCAACACATACACCACCTGCCTACTGAGCTACTGAGCATACCAGGTAACAGTATGAGTAGTCAAAGATGTAGGTGGAGACACAAAATGTGATCAATAAAAAAAAGGAACCAATTATTCATTAAAAGGGGTGATTTACTTCTTGAGCCCCATCTTCTAGTACCGGGGACAAAGTTTCACTTTAGCCTCTTTCCCCCTGATAATACTGCTTTATCGCATGTTTTTCAAACATGGCTCGACCCGATAACAATCAGCATTTGGCTTCTTCCCATTGGTAAAAAAGCTGGGTCTAACCCCTTGCTTTGGGTTAGCGATGATTATGTCACCAGTGTGACATAAATCACTAAAGTAAACAATGGAGAGCCACATGTAAGGAAGACCCGATGTAGTCAGTGTGCTTTATTGTTTTGCTCTATTATCTGTCCAAATCCCTCTTAACAGTTCAGCGCCATGTTTATCAAATGAAAACAGAGTTGTTTCGGCTTGTTAGATCAGACCCTACTGGAGCGGTGTGTTGACGTCCCTACGTTGCACTCAATGGTGTCACGTAATTTAGCGGGTCGTCCCGGGTCTGGTGTTCCCACAGCAAGCCGATCGGAGCCGAGGCGATTTTAACAAATGTTGCTTGCCGACTCATTAGAACCGTGTAAACATACGTCAGCAAGCTGTCCCCACTATTACTGTAAATTCCCTAAAGCACAATGCATTAAAATAAACCTGTCGAAAGAAAAAAAAAGTTTTTATTCTTACTTTTCTATTAAACAACAGCAGCCGTGTTCATGCTTATAACTGTGATTGAGTCTCCCGAGCGTTACCTTTCTTTTGATACCAAAATAATTCAGTTATAGTTTGTTAGTGCTAATAAAAAAACACTTAAACTTGGGCATGTTATTTTAGCACCAACGTCAGAAGAACCCCTCGGGGCAGATGAGGTTAATATAGAGCATCGGCATAAAAGTAAAGGTTAAACTGAGTGCAGAGTAATTATGTACTCTTTTCTCTAAAACCTATTAAGTGTTTTTCAGGGTTGTGCTAAAAATAATTTCTTCTGATTATTCACCCTCATTAAATATTTCAATAGATTCTTATCCCTAAATAATAACAATTTAAAGTCTGGATTTACAATATGCTGAAGATAAACCCCTGCATCATGATCCAACCTCTAAACCTCTCTGTTGGTGATTTTTTTTTAGGGTTATCAAAACTCTCCCTCTTAACTTTTAAAAATTGACTGAATCTTACTGGACTATTTCAGCCAAAATGAGGTTTAAATTATCTTGCAAGATTGGCTTGACAAAAATAAAATAAAATTATACTACTGTATTTTGGCCATTTTCATGACTGCATCTTACTCTGTTCATGTTTTTCACATTTATTTTCAAGGTTACTCTCATCTATCCTACAATTAACTTATTTAAAAAGACTGCATTCAAATGCTTTATATCAGATGCCATACTGACTTCCTAATGACTGAAATAAACACATAGTTGTTTAGTTTCTATAAAATAAGAAAATGTAAAGTTGATATACCAATAAAAATGTAAAAACATGGAAAAGAAATAAGATCAAGATTATTCTGTCCTCCTGCTTGTTTACCATCAATCAAGGACTTTGATTACATCAAATAGCTCAGCGATGAGTCAAAGGTCCAAAATCATTATCTTCTTCACAGTTTTCCCAAGCATTTCACCTATGATTTGCCTTCCGTTTGTTAACATAGTGATTTGTTAGGAGGCAACACGCCACCCACGCTTCGACTGCTATACGTAGACAGGCCATATGGAGGAGCAGACACCTCCTCATATTCACTCAACAGAAGTGTGTGTGTGCCTGTGTGAAGGGGGAAAAGAAAGGTGGGGGTGTGACAATGAAGAGAAACTTATTCGATAAACCGACCGACAGAGGAGGTAAAGTGAGATAAGAAAGAGTAGGCGAGAAAGACAATAAAGCAGCAAGTGAAAGGCAGACGGAATGGGCATGAGAGATTCAGGAGTAGATGAACAATCTTTCTTCTTTCGGTAGCAGCTGTGAGGTGGAGGACAGACAGAAAGGGAAGCATGGTGATATATCCAGTAAAGGAAGAAAATATTCCCATTTATCTATAGCCTCGTTAAACAGTCCCCTGCACATGTAGAAGAGCTCTTAGAACTTTTCACATTTTCACAGACAGTGGCTTCTGCACTTCTCCACCACAGAACAAAGGGGATCAGATCCCGGGTCTGAGGGGAGGAGCTGGTTGGCCCTTATAGTGTATCGCTACCTGGACCAAGGAGTAAAGTATGTGTGCTTTGACAGTTCATTTAAACATTTTAACACAATTTTACACGATAAGCTTGGTCTGAGGTATTATTGGTCATTCATAATTGCAAAGATGCATGCGTTCCCTTGAAGACCATTATCATAGCGGGAGATTGATTTAGATGCCTGAGAAACAACCTGAGAAATATAGCTGTTTATTATAAATCACTGTAAAAACTACAGTATAAGTCACATCCCTCAGGCATTATTGTACTTTTGTCCTTTTTAACATTGAAAATAACAAAGCAAGTCCTAAAATTTGAACTGTTTCCTTCATTCTATTTCATTTTTCCATATTAATCCAGATCTGGAAAAAGGTTCCAGAAGATGGATCCCTTTTCCCTTTACCAAGCTTGAGTTCTCTCATCGATCCAGTTTTCCTCCTGTGTGTTTAAAGTAGCCCTTCCAGAAAAACTATCTAAGCAAAGAAAGTTTCTGTTTGTTTTCAGTTGTTTCACTGAAACAAAGAAAAGTCTCAAAGCAGACAGTGTTCTGGGATTCGGCTGCCCCTGAGCAAAGTATCTCAGACAGGCTGTAGGGATGTCAAGGAGACTGTGGAGAGGGATTTGGACTCTCGAGGACAGCTTATCCGTTTGACACAAGCATGGCTATAGTAGTCAGGCAGCAAAGTACAAACACTCTACTGTCGAGATGCATCATGTCTCTGCTGAAACCCCACATTCTGCTCCAGAATAAGGTCAGCCAACGTTCGCACAGAAGCAGTATAGAAAGTTATTCAGCAACTTTGATTACCCCACAACAGACAGAAGCTGTTTGTTTTTCATGCAAAATGTTTTTTTCTCAAATAGAACCAGTTATTTTAGGTAAAAACATAAGAATGCAATAAACTCCTTCTGTTATCCTACTGATAAAAAAAAAACTTATTGGATCACTGAACTCAGGGCTTAAGAAGGCCTAACTCTTGGCAGGTGTGAACACATAATCTCCCTCACTCTGACTGTGCATATGCAGAAAGTGTGAACATTTTACACTTTTACATCCTCCATTGCTTTGCGATGACAGCAGAGGGAGTAGCTGGATTTAGTTTTTTTTTAATCTGACCAAGACTTTCTACAGAGTAAGGGTTTTGGATTCCACAGATTATCCTGAATTAAACAGAAAATAATCCTGCTTTAAAGTCCTAATGTCTGTAAAGAGACTATACCACATGTAAGTCATCTACGTATATGAGTCAATTTGATTCATAATAAATATAGATATGTGGTGCATTGTCTAACATAATCCATGTGTTGTGCAGGAAGAGCTACCTTTTTGCACACCAGATTTGCCCTGCTATTCCTAGAGATCTACATAACCTTCATATGATCCCTAATATTTTTTGTACACGGATAATCAAGGATCACATTCAGCAAATTAATGAAAATCAGACCTTAACCGTGAGGACTTCTTAAAGCAATAGCGGTGCACTCAAACCTCTCAGATTGGACCTTTCCCCGACAAGAATGATTTAACCATTCAAACTGTTCCCCCACTGGACTTCAGGATTAACCCCCGCCCTGCTAAAAAAAATAAATGTTCATATGATGTCCTGATATTTCAAATTACACTCAAGATAAAAATCTTAACATTGGTTCATATTTTCAGACTTTAGGAGATATCTAGGATGCAGATTTTGTTTTTAAATGACAAAAAAATAAATGGTTATAAGACAAAAACAATTTCAGAGGGGAAGTTTGATGAAAACTTTATTTAAAATCAAACATGCTGTTTTAATCAAGAGTTAAAGAGTCGACTAGGGTGGATGTTGGGGGTTTAATTTGCTTTTATAGAGACTACAGGAAAACAATTCCCACTCTGACATGCCGTAGCTGACATCAGGGCTACAACAGGGACTATACTCAGTAGCAATAGCTAAGAATTGAGACCAGGGCATTGAAGATCCGGTTTAAATAGTTTTATTTTATTTATTTATTTTTTACACTTTATCCATCACTGACTGCACAGTAGCACGGTGGGTAGCACTGCTGCCGTGCAGCAAGAAGGCTCCAGGTTCGATTCTCGGCCCGGGGTCTTTCTGCATGGAGTTTTACACGCGTGGGTTCTCTCCGGGTATTCCGGCTTCCTCCCACAGTCCAAAAACATGACTGTTAGGTTAACTGGCTTCTCTAAATTCTGCGTAGGTGTGAGTGAATGGTTGTTTGTCCTGTGTGTCTCTGTGTTGCTGTGCAATGGACTGGCCAATGTCCAGGGTGGACCCCACCTCTCGCCCATAGGCAGCTGGAGATAGGCGGCAGCACCCCTCGCAGCCCTGTTAGGGAAAAGAGTGACGGAAAATGGACGGATTTATGGATTGTTCATCACTTTAATCAGACTTGCTGTCTTTAAAGTACTCTCTAAATTGGCTTAACCTTGTCTGGATTGTTTCAAATATTCATTTAGGCATCTTTGATGAAAGCCTTTTTAAAAAGCTGCTCCATGGGGTAAAAGGGGCTTCAAAAAAAACATCCACAGTCTAAACCCTTTTTACATTTGCTCCCCGAAGGAGAGGACAGCTACAGATTAAACCACCCCTTAATCTATAGTAGTAGAGTAGAATTAGAATGAGAGTTTTGTGTTTTTGTTTGTGTGGGGGTGTTGTTTAGCTCACTTTAATCATTACTGAATCTATACTGGTTTAATAAATCATGAATGGAATTCACTTAAAGGTTTTAATTTTTGTTATGATTTTAAACAAATTCTGGGAATAAATATGTGATAAATCCTGCTGAATAAAACACTTATCCTACATATATTTTGATAACTTGTTGAAATAACTGGTGTATAATAGCCTAATTATGAGGAAAACATATTCAGGTTTCTGGTGTTTTGTAGTGAGATGCAGTGAACACTTAGCAGAAGATGGCTGCTAATTATGCTAATTCTTTCCAATTAACCTCAGTCACTATGGAGACTAAACTACAAGGGGTTATGTCAGTGTTTAAGGTCGCATTATTTTCAAGACTCTGCTTGGAGGGAAATGCTCCTGGGGTAAACAGTCATGCAGCAGGTGGGCTAAGAGAATTAGTGTAAATACAAATCAGGAAATGTTAAAGACACAAAAATGCTCTAACAGTTACAGAATGATTAAAGGTCAAACATCTGCAAACCTCAGAGCTCCAGGGGCTCATGAAAATATATTCCTACGAAAAATTAATGAATGAAAGGAAATCAAATGTTCATGTAATGAAATATGCATTAATTCTTATTACACAACACTAATTATGAATCAGTAATTAGTCCCAGAGGAGCCGCTAAACATCATTTTTGACATGTTAATCAGCTTTTAGGTATAAAGGCTGCAACAAAAAGATTAAACGAATCATGCAATCTGCTTCATATTGCAAACACCTGCAAGTTGTGCCCCGAACAGCTGTTTTCATCCCAAAACAAGCTTCATTACTTTAATGACCCTTCAGTCTTTTTCTCTAGAAAACACACTTTAGTGCAGCTATATTGGTTTACAATATGCACTAACATTTCTCTCTTCAGTGAATTAGTGTATAATACATAATAAGGTAAAATTTACACAATGATTAGAAAATTGTTTGCATTCTGAAAACAATTTTTATCTGAAAACTCAATTTTTTTTTCCAGTTAAAACGGGAGTTTTAACATTTCTGCACCATTCCAGACTCTATTTTATCTTTTCATTACTTACTTAAGGCTTTTCAAATCTCACCTTCGATAATCAAACTCAATCAAACTCAGAAAATGTAATTTTTTCTAAATCTATAAGTCAGAACAGCAACTGCATAATTGTGAAATTGTTAGAAACTGTGTCGCTGTCATTTTATCAATTATGATTTTTTTTTCCTATATTAACTTTTAATTTTAAGCTCACTTTAAAAGCAGTTTTTTCTGCAAACCATTACAGAAAACGGAAACTTTTCCAATGAGCCCTGACAGCCCTATAGTCAATGATTTTAAAGCTTTATAGGGGACTCAATTAAATACTTTGAAAATCTTAACTTTTTAAGTTAAGAGCGTAATTGGAGCTCAATACATTATTACTTTTGTAAAAAAATATGTTTATTTTGATAGAATACATTAAGGTCAATCTAATAAAAAGAAACAGTCACTTGCCCTAATATGTTAGCAAAAATAAAAAAAGTGCTTTGATAAGAAATTCATGAAAAAACACTCACAGAGAGAAAAAAACTATTTTTTTTGTCAGAACATTATTGTAAAGCATTAATGCATCAGTTCTGTTACAGGCACCTACATTTTTTACTCTATATCTTAGTTTATTAACTTTTTAACTTTTTTCCTCTTAAATGTAACTCAAACTAATGTACAGTAGCTAGCAGATCAAATTTTTCAAATACCAAAATGACATGTAGTAGTATCTTTGCTGAATGGGTGCATAGGGGGAAACTCCATTTGTTAGGGGAAAACCAAAGTGAAAAGTGCTTAGCTAGAAAAGTGACTAATACACTGGAAAAAACGATCTAGAAATAAGTAAAAATGTCTTAAATTAAGTGTATTTACCCTTAATTTGAGTAAGCGATTGAGGTAGTTTGCCAATGGAATGAGTATTTTTACTCTTAAAATAAGATAATTAGATAATATGCACTTGAAACAAGACAATGCAGTTGTGTTTTCTTATTTTAAGTGTAAATTCTCTTGTTCCATTGTCAAAATGTATCTTTTAACTTCTCAATCCAAGAACAAATGCACTTATTTTAGGAGAAAATGACTTATCTAGATTTCTATTTTTTCCAGTGTAAAAGTAGAAATGACAGACAGAGACAGAGATTTCTGCTAAGAAACAGTAGCTAAAGAAATCAAGGGGGGGAAACTTCAGAAGTTAGGAGGTAGGAGATGGATTGGTTTAAATTATGAGATTTAGAGATCCATCAGAGGCCAAAAATGTAAAGACATCCCATTATCCATAATCAGACAATAAAGTTGACCATTAAAGGGGAATTTCATTTTTTTTACATTTGGCCCTTGATTTTACGTTATTACATCATGTTCTACTCACCCATGTGAGTTTTGTGTCATTGGGAGCCATTCTGAAGATATTCCATTAGGTTATATCCAAGTAACATCTTCCTATGGGCAACGAGTTGAAGGCACAAACTAAACTAAATTCCATTTGGAGAGGGAGATCATCTGTGGTAGCACTATCTTCCAGGCATGTGAGTAAAACTAGCAGCAGTTCAGTGGACAGGATGAAGGAAAGGTAGCCGGCGCGTGCAGATGACATCATACACACTCTGTTTTAAGAAAATATAAATATAAAATATATAACCGCGGATGTCTGGGGGACAGTGATTCGCCCACATGTTATGAATGCTGGCGTACCATAAAGAATAAATTATGAACAGTTTAGTTTGTGCCTTCAACTCGTTGCCCATAGGAAGACGTTACTTTGATATAACAGAATATCTTCGGAACAGCTTCAAATGACACAAAACTCATATGGGTGAGTAAACATGATGTAAAAACGTAAAATCAAGGGGCCAATGTAAAAAAGAAAACAGCGTTCCCCTTTAAGCCGGGCAAACAATTTAGGATTGTTTGTCCTTTTCAGGCCGGTCTTCCTGTCATGCGACAATTTTTTTGGATGTCATGTAGTATAAGGGGATAACAGGGGCCGATCAGCCACTTGCAACCACCTCCCGATCAGGAATCGTGAGAAAAAATCAAACATGTTTGAAATTCAGTCGGCCATCGTACGGTGTTCATGGGCAAATCCTGCTGTTGAAGCAGAGCTACAAGCCGATTTACCAGAACCTCGAGACCCTCACATGTGCAAACGAGGGAGTTCTTCTTCTTCTTCCAGATTGACGAGTCCGACCAGCACCATCTCTCAGCGCCGAGTTCGACGTGTGGATTTTGGACATGCAGTGTGGGCAGGTAGATTATATCAGAGCTACGGGCCGTACAGTCTAAGAACAAACATCGTAAGCAGTGAACTTTTAAACCCTGTGGTTTGGTCGTACAGTTGGAGCTATAGCTGCGTGCAACGATTGGAAATATCTTAATATCGTACGAAATATCGTACGCCCAGCTGAGAGTCAATATATTCATGAAGAAAAGTAAGCTCAGCCTTCCTGCCACCAGTAACCTACTGTACCACCAGGAGCTGTTTAATACACTTGGTCAAATACTCATCAGGAATACTGGCAACCGGTTTGGAGTCTGTTAATGAGACGCCCCAAAGTACAGGTATCATCAAGACCAACAAGAGCAAACTGATGCTGCTCTGGAAATTTATCTGGTTGAATGTTATAAAGTTGAAGTCCATTATTTGACAGTAAGAAACACAATCCGCTGTTAAAAACAGAAAACAGGCCACTCTTCTTTAACTGAGTCATATTTAGCACATAGACATTAGTGATCAGCCAGAGGAGCAAAGCAGGTTCATGACCATAGAGTAAATATGGATGCCTAAAGGGCATCTCAGAAGAATTTTGTTTCACCTCTGAATATCAATAGATTCATTTCAACACTCATAAAGTATACGTTAAGAACGTCATCAAACTGCATAGAGGAAGGTTAGAGAGGAAAGAGAAAAATGATGCAGCACACCTACACAGAGTTATTTCTGCTAGATGGAAAAACTCCAGCTCATGAAATTAAAGATGTATTTGTCCTTCCCCTGTGCTTTGGAAAAGATTCAAAATGCATTATTTAAAAAAAGAAATAGGCTTTACTTTTATCACTTCTTAAGACTATACACTAAGCAGCCAACTGCTCAAGCAACACCCAGCCAGACTACCGAGGCCTTCAATGTCAACAAACACATAAAAGAAAAGAAAATAAGATTCCAGCAAATGTGTACCCATTTTAACAGATGGAAGCCAAAGTGGGTAATATTTAAAACGCATGTTAAGCTTTTCTCCTGAACATGTATATAATTATTGTTTGGAGCTTTTGAGCAAATGTACAGGAGATGGATGAACTATGAGGACAAATGTTAAAGTGAGAGGAAACAACATAGGAGGAAGTGGCAGGTCAGATTGGTCCTCTGCAGTCAGCCTATTTTTCTAATTGCTCAGCTTGTCAGAACAGCAGCAGCAAAGTGGAGCAGAAAAGGGGACACCTTGACCTCACACTTTGTTCCTTTGTTCTATCAGCATGAACAATGAATTACCAAAGCCCTGTTTTTATCTGGTATGTTTCCAATGTAAGATTTAAGACATTTAACACAAATGTTTTTTAATGTTCTAAATCAGTAATGTCTTCCCAATGCATACACTTCTTTTATTTTTCCTTCAAGCTATTCTAGATTAAAGCATAAAAACGAATTTGTTAACATCTGAAATTGCTTTGTATTGTGTAATATCTACAGTGCTTTTCAAATGAACTTTTAATCTATTTCAGTATCTAACTGATTATCTTCCAATACTTTGCTCTATCCATCTTTTCATTACTGCATATCTTGCCACCACCGTGCTTCATCATAGTAATATTTTTATCTTTCTTTTTTTTAATCAGTGTTGTTCTTTTTTATCACTCAGTTATTTTTTTGTATAGGCCACAAAGTTCAGTTCTGGTCCCATGGAACAACAGCCTTTTCTCTCACTTTCTTTTAGCAAGGGTATTCCTTTTTTCACCCCTCCAGGCCAGATTTTAGAATACATCACTAATGATTGTCTTGTTAACAGGTGGGCACCTGAGCTGTGGGTCTGTGCTAGGCATGGCCGGTTTAAAAACTACTGTTTTTTCCATCTTACCGTCTTTTGATCTATAAATCTATTCCACAGAAAAAGTGGTCCGATTTCACAGGTGCATTGTTAGCATCATAACCCCTTCCCCGCGCTCCCCTGTATCTACTAGCTTTACAGGCCGAATGATGTCTAAAAACGTATCTTCTGCACACTGCTGAAGCCTGAAACTCATTAAAGTTCACTATTAGGTAATGCTTCTGCAAACGCAAGAAGACGGAATGTAATGGTCAAGAGTAAGAACATTACTTGCATCTTAATGGGACTGTGCAATTAATCAAAGGTGAAATTGATGCTGTTTTAAAATGAAGAACCTACCTTTAACTGTCAGTCAAAGCATGTACAGTAGGAGATGTTGAATTTGATTTGTTTTAAGTGAACGACTAAAAGTACTGAATACATGCTTAGAATTTCTGTTGCTTGTTGGTACATGTAATGATAAATTAAATATATAAATATATAAATATAAACATTAAAACCATATTAATTTCCAACGTGACACATTAGGCCAATAAAATACCTGTGCAGTGTACCTTGGTTGTCTCATCTATTAAAACACTGGAATTGTTGTCATACTATTAAATAAACTCTGTTAATCATAGCATTAGATTAAAAAAAAAACGTATGAATGGCCACATAAAGGGGCATTTTTGCATGACACAGTGATCTAAAAACAGCCACCTCCAACAATTAAAGTTGACTTTGATTATAGAGATTATGTTGAAGATCAGCCCACGATTCAGCAAGCGTTTCTCTTTTTTTCTCTTTTCTTTTTTACTGCAGTAAAATAACACAATTTATAGCTTCATAGCTTTATAGCTTCAGTCATAATACTGTGTTATTTTTGCTTAAGATTATGAACTAATCAGAATTTAATACCGGCCCATGTTCAGTCTACTACTAGCACATTCATAACAGTTAAAAGTGATGATGGATAAAACTGCAAAGTGTGTGTTTGTGTGGGGGGTTCTATAATTTAACACCTGCTTGAATTGTCCATTTCTGTCTTCCTGATGTGTCTGCTGTCCTCCTTGGTCTTCCTAATGCTGTCTGATCTCCAACGTTCTTTAGCAAAACTTAATGTTGGCATGGAAATGTGTCCATTAAAGCACACAAAAAGTAATCTAACCAGACATCTCATTTTAGAAGAATTAGTATCATTTTAGAAGAACTTTACAACCTGTTTGTTACATTTTATCAGTCAGATTTTCAGATCTTCACCTGAAACTTTTAGTGACGGTTCATTTAGTAAGTGCCATGTTATTCTATTGTTTCTTGTATATGGATTGGATGAGAGGGGGCTGCACAGTGGCGCAGTGGGTACCACTGTTGTTTTGCAGCAAGAAGGTTCCTGGTTCGATTCCTGGTCCTGGCTCATTCTGCAGGGAGTTTGAATGTTCTCCCTGTGCATTTGTGGGTTCTCTACAGATACTCCGGCTTCCTCCAACAGTCCAAAAACATTGCTGTTAGGTTAGTTCTCCCAGTGTGTGAATGGTTGTTTGTCTGTGTTGCCCTGATGAACCGCCCAGGGTGTACCCCGCCATTCACACATTGACAGCTAAAGATGGGCAGCAGTACCACTCGCGGAAGGATGGATGGATGGATGGATGGATGGATGGATGGATGGACTCATACATATGCATTTACACGTGTGTATGCTGATGTAATAGTAGATGCTTCATATTAAATTTGAAATAAGAAGTAAAGCAAAACATCAGCCATCATATAACTCAATCAAACCAAATATCAAATAAAAGCTTCGTTTTAGCTGCTGTTCTCCGCATCCTTGATAGTATTAAGCTCTCTGGTCTCTCAGTCAGCCATAAAGCAGAGGAGACTTTAAGCACTGACATATAACTTAAGACTTTGGATTAGTGTGAATATCTCAAATCAAAGACAATGAAGCCATGACAATAGCGCGTCGGCACAATAACTGCTATCTGAATAGAACTGTCAGTTCAGAAGATGATAGGAGCAGGAAGCAGTATGCTTCCTATCATCAGTTAATTTAGAATAAGGAACTCCTGACGTCCCTGTCCTTCACTAGGAATTATAAGGTTCACTAAAATCCTTTGTTTGAAACAAAGTCTACCTCACAGAGTAAAACATACATTAAAATACATTACATTGTGACATGCAATGTGTGTGACACATGCTAATGTCCTCACTTTTATATGTTTTTGGTTTAATAATGGAGAGCTGCAGTCATTTGCCACATGTGTCAGGACTCCTGTTTTTGTGTTTCTGTGTATGTCTCCTTTCATCCACCAGGAGGCGCCTGGTCCTGGTCCGCCTCCTCACACACCTGCTGATGGTTTCCTCGTTAAACGGAGTGTTCTTAAGCTGCTGACTGCCACTTCTTCGACGCCAGAGTGTTTGCCAGTTTAGGGTACTCTAGCCAAGCTGAGTTTTTGCTGAGTCAAGCTGAGCTTTGTCAACCTGAGTTTAACTTTGTTTTTGTCTTTGCCTCTCGGCAGGAAGTCATCCTGCAAACTGGATTTCTTGGACCTTCACTCCCTGGAAGGATCAACCGAGTTTCTAACTGAGCTGGGATTCAAACAGGAGGTTAACTTTTTTTGTTTAAGTTGCTATCCTGATGGCTATATTCCCAATTTGACAAGCTTCATAGAAGCTTGTCAAAGATAGAAATGAAGATAGACCTGCTGCATTTCAAAGATAGAAATGCAGCAGGTCAGGTGTTTAGCCAAATGGGTTAAAAGAATAGGATTTAAAACATGTTTTATTTTATGTAAACTGTTTTCTTAAACAAAAATAAAACAATCCATTCCATCCACAGCAGAGTTCTTGAACATCCCACAAAGTTCAGCCTCTGCTTGAACAACGTGAATCACAGTAATCCCACTGCTGTTGTTTTCTTTTAGTCAGTTAAGAGTATGTGTGCATCAGTGTGGGTGTTTGAAAACCGATGAAGGCTTTAAACACTCCCCATAATCAGTGCACCCTTAGTCATCCACAGAAAGCATGAGCGGTACATGGAACTGGAGAATGTGTACCGTGTCCAACCTACAGCGGTAATTACCTTCAACGTGATGAACAGTACAGGCCGTGTGCGGAGGCTGCAGCAAAGCTTTTATCTGAAGGCAAAAATGAAAGTAATAATGGGATAATTGTTTTGGAAGACGGCTATCTCAGCTCCTTGCAAAGCCCCACTACCTTCTGCCGGTGAGCCGAGTGTCTGATTTGGTTCTAACGTGAGCGTTGGGATATAAATATAAGTGGAAATATGTAAAGTCTTGTTGTATGGTTTTGTGTATAAGAGATAAAGTGTGAATACGATTAACCTTTTTAATCAAGCTCCATTACTGCCTCTTTTAATCCCTGCCCTACAGCACCAACTTAATGCCTTTTCTCTGCCACTGATAAATATTTGTATAGGATCCCTTAAAGGGAAAATCTGCATGCCTGGAAAAAATAGCAAAAGTTGGCAGGGGAATTTTAGTAAAACACCAAATCGTCCTCTATTCAATGTTTTGATGGAGAGCATTTTGTTTTTCCATGTGTTTCCTCAGCATCAGAGGCGAAAACAAGAACATTATCAGAATGTTTTTAAGTTGCATCACAGATGGAAAACAACAACAAAAACAAAAGATTCAGGTCATGTTTGGTTTATAATCCATTCGAAAATCCTAATAGATTAAATGCTTCCCTGTTATCTGATTTTGATGTTGCTGTTAAAGTAATAATTTGTGTTGCCCTGGATGGTAACACTCTCTAACAGCTTCAGCCATCGAATTCACAAGTAATTAGCTTTTTTTTTTGGCATTGCTATGAACATTTTGCAGAACACTAAATTCAGCTTCATGACAGCGAACTCGTCTCCTTCCCGGTAGCTGGGTATTCTCTTGCTTCTTTTCATGTAATTGGTTTAAGAGATAAACGGGGCACCTTCAGGCATCTGGAAATCGCCCAAAGGATAAATCAGGCTCGTCTAGGTTTATTATTCTCTCCCTGATATCTTCCCTGATTTTATCCGATTTTCCCATGATGATGTCACGTGAGGTATCAGTGTGGTTTAGCTGTTGACTTTAAATGCATCAACACTTGACGCAAAATTTACTTTGAAAGCCAACACTTAAAAAGCCAAGACATCTTTACTTATCTTCCTTCAAAGTAATGTTTTGTTAGTAATTTCTGTTAAAAACAAGGGTTATGTTTCCTATTGAACAGTGCAACCTGCTTTTCACTGTATAAAACTTGTTCAGCAGTTGTTGACTTTCAGGGCATTACAATTTTCCGCCGTATTGCAAGGATTTCTTAACCTGACTCCGCCAGATGGATTTGCTGGATTTGCTCTGCATATCCATCTGGAAACCTTCCGTTGAAGTAATTTTGGGAAGGGGCGAAAATACTGGTTAGCTGATTGGCCTAAGTTGGTGATAGACGGGCCAAATAAACCAATCAGATCAACGAAGCATATGACGTACTAACAGAGCGACGACGAAAACACAACCACAAGCCAGGCACAAGCCAATCGATAGATCAAACTCTTGCTGAAACCAGTCGGGAGAAGAGCAAAAACATCTTTTCCTCTGAGAAGAGCCTCCAGAGCAGTGTTTTGCTCTTCTTTCAGTGAAGAAATATTCTGTAATTCCGATAAAACTTGCTCGATAGCCACGCTAACGCTAGTTTCATCGGCTGAAGCTGCCATGTTCTTTAGACTGAACTGTCGCGCTTCTCGTTGCGTCACACCTCAACTCGCCTCAAAGCCAACGCTGATTGGACGTTCGTTTGGTGAACGGGTCCAAATTTTCTTTAATGGAGAGTCTCCAGACTGATTTGCGAGTGAAACCTTGAAAGCTTGCGAGATCAGGATGGTCTCACGAACCTAAGGAGTTCTCGACGTTCCGCTTGATCTGAATGGCAAGAAATTCAGAAACTCTGAATTAATGTCGTCGCTTATTAATAAGGTGGGACATTTCTTTTCCTCCAACTGACTGTAGCTCCTACCTACTGGTAGTAAGAAGGGAGACAGAGAAAATGAGAGGAAAGCAGGGGAAAGAGACAGACGATGAGAGACGAATCAAGGAGACTGTCCTCTATTATGAATCAAGAGAAGGAAGGTGGGTGAAGGGAGCCTGCATTGACACTTTAAGCAATGGCAGAACTTCCTATAAAAGAAAGACTTTCTATCAAATCAGGGAAACTGAAGAAAATTGATATATTGAAATAAGAAACCAGCTGGTGGACTTCCATACTACATTTGGACATTAACTTCAGCAGGTTTATTTATTCTCAAGGCTGCCATTGATAACTGTTATATAGCATATGGCTGATCTACAAAAAATTGAGATGTCAGGTATAAGTAAAGCTGTATTGCAAAAGTTCCTTCATGGAAATATTTGAAATACAGAGATATAGCAAACTGTCCTGCCAGCAGAGATATGTAAGGAACGATGGGGGAGCTGGGTAAATGGCATGGGGACTAGGCGGTAAGGGAGGGCAGATTAAGAAGCATTTCACAATCTGCGCTCTTCATCCATCAACACAATCTGCAATGCTTTGACGAGAGAGAAGATGTGCATGCAAGCATTTTGACTGGAAATGTTTGCTTGGCACAGAAGGGTGCACAACACTCTTTGCCCTGTGCCTGTGGTTGTTTCTGTGTCTGCAGAATCAGCTCCGTCTGTCAAGTGAAACAAACGGTTTAGCACAGCAAAACAAAACTGAGAGACATCGTACAAAATCAAAAGGATTGTTATATTTTTCTGCCAAACAAAAACGGATCTGGTGCGACAAGCCGGAGAAGACGGCTTAATCCATCGCGGCATTTAGGCCAAATCTAACAAGGATGATGTTTCTATCAGGAGACTATGGGGCAATCTAGAACCAGAGTTCCACCATGTCATTACTCATAAAGATATTTAAAATTTCTGGGAATCCCCTCTATTTCAGGTCAGTCAAATTATGCTTATTAAGCCTTAAAATATTCTATATCAGTTAGTGAACCGAAGCTTGTTTGTGGTTGAAAAAAAACCATTAAAAAGACTAAAGGAGACAGCTACAACTTTAACTCCTCCTGGGCTCATTGCTGTTGTTCCAACCTTTAGCTGTACTTTAGGTTGCAAACTCTCTGAAAAAAAGGGACACCTCATGTACGTGCCAGCTGAACCAATTGCATTTACACCTCCTGGCATGGTGATTTTTTTTTAGCCTCCCTTTGACTCAAATCTGCATTGAATTAGGTGCATATTTGCATTGTGCTTTATATTCACTATCAAGGACTTTTTGCTCCCAAGTATTTTCCCATTCCTCCCTATATATCTGCAGGAGGAACATCGCTATGTGAAGGTGCACTGCCTGCAAAAGCAGCGTCGGCATTTAAATGACTCCGTTCGTCCCCCATACTGCTCTGTTGTCTCCATAGGTAACACTTCGCTAACACTCGGCCAACGGGATGAGGGTATTCTGGATCGTTACATGCATGTTGTCAGCTCATTGGTCACAATGCAGGACAGGGCCTGGAAACAAGTTTACCTCAAGTTCTGTATCTAACATGCCCTTGTTGTTCATTTTCCATTAGATTTTTACTGATTATTTTTTTACTCTCACAGTAATATTGGAAAAAGTGTGTTCCTTTTTCATTAAAAACGAGACAGGTACTTCTATTTCTAAATACGGAATGATTCCGTTTTTCAAGGTGACGGTTGGCAACCCACACTGTAAGTGTGCTGGCATTATAAAACCTACCTCCCCAGAAGGAAAGCTGCAACCTCATTTGACTTTGTTACAATTTGCTTATTTTTTAGTCTGCTTAAAGAAATTTAGGGCTGAGGCAAAGTCATTTTTTAAGAGTTAATATGGTGTTACTAGGATCTAGCAACACCCAGCTCCATCTTGTGCGACTGTAACCAACTATTCCTTCTGGAGAGGAATCCTTTCTTGTCGACGTCATCATTGTAACTAGAAATAAATATTTATATATTTTGGACTTGTCAAAATGCACACACAATTATATATCATATTTATTCTGTAAAATTTATACTTTTATTCTGTACTACTCTATTTCAGGTCCATTCTTCTCTATAAGGGAGGTAAGGAGGTAAATGGGTAATACAATACAATATTTATATCATTAGCTCCGCCAAGGAGGTTATGCTTCTAATGATTGTTAGCAGGATTAGTTAAAAAGTTATGAATGGATTTTAATGAAATTTTGGCAAGAGGTGCGACTCATGCCAAGGAACAATTCTTTAGAAAATTGAGAATTATCCACATCATCTGCCAGTTTTGGCTATAGACGGATGTCTGTGCTCTCTGTTTTAGGTCTAGTATCACTGTGTAATGCA